TTCTCCACAACGGGAGACTCCTACGGAGATCCCCAGTGACTTCATTGCTCAGACAATGGAAGCCGCGGCAGCAGCAGTGCCTGAGGCGCCCGAAGAGGAGCAGGAAGCCATGGAGGTAGAGACCGTTGCGGAACCTGAGGAAATCCCAGAACCATCTGTCATCGCGGAGGACGATCCAGAACAGGAACCTGATGAAGAAATGGACACAGAGCCAGGAGAGGACTTTGATGACGCAGTACCAGATGCAGTTGCACAGGAACGCCGTCCCGTCCTCATCGCCGGCCAGTCTTTGAACATCGATCCTGAACTACAACTCGCACGTACCGCCATGCAGCCATCCTACTACTCAGGGAAGCGAAATGCCCATTGCATTGACGCCAACATGGTCGCTCTTTCGTATATGGCATTCGTGGTATGCAGAACCATCTACAAGGCTTGGTCAGGATTCGCGAAGTGGGCTACTATGCCGTTGTTCCAGATGAAGGAGAATTTCGCACTTGGCCAACGCTATGATGTGCTCGGAAAGTGGGGATCTTTGGCTGTAGTGGACAGAGAGACGGGTGTGAGCAGGGATGTGACTGACGAGGAGATCATTCGCTTTGCCAAGGAGCCTGAGAACCTCAAGCAGTACGATCCCAACGGGACTTACACTTTGAAGCGCTTCCGGACGAATCAGATGCTTTCGTTGCTTACACGGGGAGCCAACATGATGGGAATTGGCAGGGACAACTTCAACCCTACTACGTACTTGAAGAGCAACAGGGATGAAGATGTGAAGGCTATGCACTTCTGTTGCCTGAACGTCCTGTGCGAGGTGATTCCGATGGTGACAGGACACCAACAATTCTCAGTGCTACGACCAACGCCAACTGGACCGGTGGACTTCCTGTACATCGACCCCGTCGGTATCCTGCTGACTCATGCCGATCATTCAGTCCAGACCATTGGATTGCTGGTGGACCACAATGTGCAAATGCCTGCGCATTTCATGGACAGATTGGTCAGATCCAAGGCTGAGAGACAGCAAAACCCGACGACCAAACGTACTGAAGCCCTACATCACATTTCGGCCGCTGACTATCTCCCTCCAGGTGGTACTTCCATCCTGGACACGCCTGTCACTACGGAGGAACGTGCAAGCGCTTCTTCGGCCAAGGGACCTTCAAAAGGGCGTGAGAGAACCGGAGGTGAACAGCATGGAGGCTGGAACGCCAACTCCTACTATGACTACACCGCCGGCAAAGGCCGAAACAAAGGCAAGGACAAAGGAAAGCAAAGGGAACAGTATCCAGAGGAAAACCTCCGGCCCTGGGACCGCGATCCTGCGACCACGCGAAGATGGAGATGAATCAACGCTTGGTCTTCCTCGCCTATCAGTTCGTGACCTCTGAGCTTCGCCCATGGAATGCCATCGCGAATGCTTCTTTCTTCGGTGACGCCTGATTCGTTTGCCATTTCAGGGGATCGTTACTGACGTAGATGAGTGTCACAACGTTTCTAATTGGGATGCAAAGCTCTGATTTTCAATGTCAACGTTGCGGCGGAACATTTTCTGTTGTCCTATCGTGCCATCTTCCGGGTGAGCAGCGTCGGAGACGCAACTCATGGGGGGTGCGAACGGACTGCGATGCCTTGTCAAGTTCTAAGGTGTCACTATAAGAGCTGTGAGCAATGACCGTGTAAAGTGCAAGAGAAGGGGGCACGCTACGCGTCCCTCGACTCTAAGGGGGCACGCTACGCGTCCCTCGTCTTTACCTTTCTATGTGACCGCCCACGCAACGTTTGGCTCAAGTCAATGCCCATAGCTAAGTGCTATATGTGTCTTCTATCCTGAGCAATCAGAGCTATCCCGTTGCACAGACGAACCGCCGCCGGCAGTGAGTGCAAAAGGAACGGCCGCCGGTTCTGCCTGCATAGGATTGCACGTGTGGAAGTGTGAGAGAGACAGGGTCCAGTCTGTGGAGAGTGCAAGCCAGCCACACCTACATTCATTACAGCTCTGGTGGGGAGAGCAGCAACATAGTCGAGATCAATTCCCCACGCAAAAGCCTTTAAGGTCCATGTACCCAAAAAAGGATATTTTTCGAGAAAGGGTAAAAACACTTAAGCCTCAAAAAGGGCTTGGAGCTTAGGATTCAGGGTTAGGCTATTTTGCAGTTAGGGCTTAGGCTTTCTGGGTTAGAGTTTAGGGTTTCAGGTTTAGGGCTTAAGTTTAGGGCGTAGGTTTGAGGGCTCAGCTCTTAGGGTTAAGGGTACGTGTATGCGGGCTAGGGCTCAGCAGATCTCGCTAGTGGCATGATGTGTCGCACTGATTGATCCACCCACATTTCTCTTATTAAGGGGGCTTCTCAACGTCAATTTACACAAGTATCTATGTCGAAGCCTGTGCTAAAATCGAGCCTCAATACTGGGTGCTTGGTAGATATGATCCGTCTATATCGCAGGACCTTCAGTAGCGTAGTACATAGGATCCTCGTTTTTACGAAGGATCCCTCCAATATGCTGGACCATCTGTCGGGCTGGCTTTATACGGTTTTCGTGGGAGGGCAGGACACAAACCTTCTGGAACCGTTGACCATCGGAGCTCTGGGAATGCCGTGCGCAAGAACGATCAGCACTAACGAGGCAAGGCGAAACGAGCAGACTGTAAGAATTTGTCGCAAGATAGGTATAGACAGCAGACTTGAGGCAAGGCAACAAGTTTGCGGTTCACAGGCATCAAGCAGCACGAGGAATACGAGTAAGTGATGCAGCTTGTCCAGGAAAGCCTGAACTTTGATACCCCTTTGGAGTTTTCGAAAGACCCCAAACATAACTCTACGCTTCTGGTAGGAATGCTTCTGGGGGGGAGGGCGGGTAGATTCCAATACCTTAGGTTTTCAATAAAGGCAACCCACATAGCACTGCTACGAAGCCCGGAAGTTCAAAACCCCTGTGACCACTAATTCCCGGAGACTCCATGTAGAGTGCCATTATGGAAATAGGCCCCAAAAGACTATCCAAAAAAGGGCGTTTCACACTCACTTCGGCTCAGAACTCTTTTTGCGCGCGAAGCACGAAGTCCTTGGTCTTTTGCACGTTTGTGCAGGGGGTGGGTGGGTGGGTCACCCTTGAGCCGAGAGCCTACGGAGGTGAAACACTACGCACGCAGCGCTAAGCTACCACGTTTCACACTCACTTCGGCTCAGAACTCTTTTTGCGCGCGAAGCACGAAGTCCTTGGTCTTTTGCACGTTTGTGCAACCTTCCCCCCTTTGTACCAAAAAGGAGTGTGTGCCCCTCCACACAAAGGGGTTGTCGGTCGCGAAGCGCGACACGACAAGGGCCACACAAAAGGGGGATGGCGGTTCACTTATTTGGGAACCCTTTGACCGGCGTCATGTCTGCGCGGGCCATGCAGGCAGCGGTGTTGGCGGACGCCTTCCTAGACGTCCAAAGGTAGGCTAAAAATGCGTCCGAGTTCCACCTGCCCCATGTTCGGAGGACATAAGAGTCCATCCCCCCTGCCCACATTGCAGAGGCTCCCCCAAATCTGAGAGAGTGGGGGGTATAAGCCTGTACCTCCTCTCCTAAGGAGGCAGCGACAGTTTGCAGTGCCGTCTGGATGTCCTGCCTCGTAAGATCTCCAAAGAATCTTTCCTCCGGATGCGGTGTGGCTTCTGACCATTTGAGTTCCAGAAACTCTGTGGTCGCCAACACAGGGCAGACGGCTGCATCGCTGCGAAACAAGTTCCTCGTGGCGGATTCCCCTTCGGGATCCGTCTTTGAGGCTCTCACAACGATCTGCACCTCATCTGCCCCGCTGAAGGGCGGCCGGGCGAGGAACTCGCCACGGCTATACAGCTTGACATCTTTGAAACGGAGCCCAAGCTTTGGGTTATTGCCACCGACCAGTTCCGAAACTCGCAGGAGAAAAAAGAAACCGAGTTGCAAAGCACAGTTGAGCCGCCTTCCCCACAGCCCTTGTGGCAGCGCCGCTTGGGCCCTTGCCAACATGTGCGGCGTAACCGGACGCCGCTTGGCGATGGGTCCCTTCCTCCTTCTGATTCCCTCGAGTGCGAGTTGTAAACGAGGAAGTGGCTTCAGTGGGTCTGGAAAACCGAGCTGTAGGTGTACGCTTCGAATCGCTCCCAGGCGGGCTTGTGCTGTGGCTGCTGCTAGCCCTTGGCCCACAAATAGGTACACCAGATATAGTCGAGGAACAAAGACTCTTCTCCGGGATCGAAACGATCCACGGAGCGGAGTGCTGAAACGCCCCGACGTCTGGTGTATAGCTCCCACCAGCGCCAATGGCCGTCATACAACCGCTGGGTGGATGGTGAAAGGTGGTCCTTCACCAACTGCAGTCTTTCTTGCGCCCAGCGGCGCGCGGGGACCACCCCTGGTTCCGGCCCTTCTTCGGAGAATTTCCGCTTCGTTTCTGCGGGGGAATTCCCGCTCGGGGCCACGAGGGGGTGGCTGCCTCGACGCCGATGGTGTCGTGTCGTTAAGCTTGAGGTCTGAGCGGGCAAGAGTTCTCCCCGGGTTTCTCGGCGTGTCTCTTGTACCGCGAACTTGACCTTGCGCGTTCCTTCTCCCACCCTTCGGGACGCCGGGCGCGGAGCGCGCCACGGCGGACCCGGCCAGGTGATGAGCAACGCAACAAGAGCAGAAACTCCCAACAGTGGTGGTCCCGCAAGGTGGCCAAGTCGCCCGGTTTCTTCGGCTGGTCGGTCGCACCCCTGTAGTACGAGCGAAGCGAGGACGGTGAGGCCACCAAGGACCCCTCGAAGGAACCTTGTATATTTGGGTCCCTGGCGTCTGGCCGCGGGAGTGTTCCCTGGCGTTGGCAGGCGGGTAGCCCGGAGCTCAAACGGGGAGCAGCCCAGTCGGGGTCGGTACGCCCGGCTCTTCCTCGCCCGGTTCTGACGCCCTCTGTCGAGCTTCCAACCTAGCATCATCCCAAGCCCCAGTCCGATTCCTCCTCTGGCCATGCCCGGGCCTGAAGCAGGCCACGGTGCTTTAATCCCGAGTGGAAGGCTGGTGGGTCTCGGCAGTGCATTCGCTGGCTGTATGCTGTAGGTAGCGACCATCCCCCAAAGGGCCAGGAATCCCCCGGTGCTCCAGCCCGTCCTCCGTGGGGCACCTGCCGGGCCCGAAGCGGGCCACGGCATGGCCTTCCTGAGGCGGGGTGAACCCGAGTGAGCGTTCCGTGGGGTCGTACTTCCTGGTTTTCCCTTGCTTTTCGCAGAACCTAGCCCATTTGATGCGTCGCCTACGCTCGGACTCAGGCTTGCGCTTCTGAGCTACTGCGGCTCGCATCGGGGCGTCTAGCTCCCCAGCTCGCAGCTCAGCCTGGAAGCGCCGCAGGTTGTCCCTTGCCGCCTCGTTCATTTGAAAGTTGAGGTGGCTGGCTGCGTCCGCCTGGTCGCGGACCGGGTCTTGCGCCCCTGCGCCGACGCCTTCAGCAGACTGCTGAGCCGCTCGGTGTGCAGCAGCTCGCAAGCGGGATTTCTCCTTTCTGCGTGCCACCCACACTCCGGCGGCTTCCTTGTCCTGCAGGAAGCGTGCGTGGTTGATCCACCCGAGGCTTTTATCCATGCTGGGCCTCACTGGGTTTTTGCGCTCCAGTTCTGCCAAGGCCGGGGGGAGCGCCGCGAAGTAGGCGGCTTCTGCGCCCTCGAGCTCTGCGAGGGCTGCCGCCCTCGAGGCCGCCTGCGCACAGGCGTCGCGGTTCTTGGAGAACGCTTGCGCCAGAGACGTAACGTTCTCCACCTCGCCCGACCCCTGGGCTTCTCTGAGAGCACGCTGAACCCCGGACCAGTTGGACGCGTTGGCAGCGGCCAGGGCCCGGAAAAGCGACAACTGGCCGGTAGCCAACACCACTTTGCGGCGGCGTGGGGGTTCCTCTGTCTCGTCGAGCTCGAGTTCCTTCTTGGTTCCCCTGCCCTCCTCTTGTTTGGTGGAGCTGGACGCAGCCTCTCCCGGCAAGGCAGTTGCTACCGGAATTTCGGCCTCGTCGCCAGACCAATCCGGGTCTTCATCTTCCAACGACATCTTACCGATTTCCGCCGTCAACGTGTCCGGGTCGACCTTCAGCGCGATGGCCTCTGGCTCTGCAAGAGCCACCTCCCCCAACGCCTGGGCGGCGTCCACAAGAGGCTGCAAGGGACCTCCTTCTTCAACCTTTGGGCCCCAGATCGCCTGTGTTTCGCCTTCGCCGGGCGCGAAACGCGCCTCGGCGGACGTAGAGGCGCTTTGCCCTGGCGCAGCTTGCTCTTCCTTCAGTACTGCTTCTTGGGCTGCTGCCCCTGGGGCGCTCAGACCTGGACCGACCGCAGGCTCTACCTCCGCTATTCCGGGGAGCGGAACGCTCCACGGAAGGCATCGGTTCATCGCCCTCGAGCGTGGCCTCTGCTATTCCGGGAGCGGAACGCTCCACGGAAGACATCGGCTCATCACTCTTGGGGCTGCCCTCGGGAGGGTACTGGTCTGAGTTCCTCTGCTCGGCGACTTCTATCAGCTCCATCTCCTCGTCCCTGGCTCGGGGCGCTCCAAGGTCGCTACCACATTGTCGGTTGACCCCAGTGCTCCTCGTTCACTGCCTCGCGCCTCGGTGCCAGGTTGGAGGCGTGGCCTAAGAACGACAGGCTCCGGTGGAGGACGCACCTCCATGGCTCGCAGGCGCTGCTGCTGCGCTCAGGGTGGACTGCTCCCTGCGGTCCGAACAGGACTCACAGTCGGAGTCCAGAGCTGTCTGCAACTCCACGCCCACTGTGCCCCGGGGTGCGGCCGACGCCTTTCGGTAAAGCGTGCGGCCTCCTTGTGCTCGGCCACAGCCTCAGCTCTCTGCTGGGCTTTTTCGGCCGCGGTTTTCGCAGCTCCTTCCCGGCGCGGGCCGGCAGCCGTTCCGGGAGCGGAACGCCCCACGGAAGACCCCGCTGCCCGCGGGGGGAAGGGAACCGGTCCTTTCCGCCAGGATTCGATCTGGTATTCCGTCCGGCGCCAGGTAGATGTCATTGGTGGTAAGAAGGAACCGAACCTGGGCGTACCGAGCGGCTCCTCGGGCGAGAACAAACACGGAGGTTTCGATGTCCGACCTCCACCTGCCGTGTTTGGACCCACAGGAGAGGAGGTGGATCGCTCTACGCGCGTGCAATCCTTCCTTGAGGATGTTGTTGCTGTGCCGCGCGTAGGAGCCGTGCACAAGCACCTCTGGGACCTCCTGTAGGGGCAGCTCTCGGCCAGGCCCCACAACCCCTGCTATGGTGTGACCTGACACGGCCGCCACCCACACTTCTTCACCCTCTTGAGAAAGAATTAGCCTATCTTTCTCGTCTCGCCCAATGATTCGGGCGGCATCTTCGCCGGATATGGTTCCGACGCACTCGTTGATGTCCTTCAACGAGACCCATCCGTCTTCGCGGATCGGAAGACCCAGGAGGGCAGCCTCGTGTCTGAGGATCTTGACCAGTCTTCGCCGGTCAGCGTCACTCCGGGCTCGAAACGAGCCACGGAGACGCTCCAGCTTCTCCTGGTCTCTGCGCCCTTTGTGGGCTCCCTTTCCTTTCTGGTTGCCTTTGCCACCCATACCGGAGCAGCGGGTCGTGGACCTACCCTCGAGTTTTCCTCCAAGCCACAGGCGCACCAGGGCCTCTGCGTCGTCCTCCCACTCATAGCGAGGTACAAGACCGTAACCGGGCGCGAAGCGTCGCCACGGCTGTCCCGGGTAGTCCCTTCAGGGGGGAGATCCGCTCCGAAAAGCCTGCAGTCGTCCTGTTCGACCCAAAGCCACTTAAAGGCTTCCGAGACGTCTTTCTTCGCCAAAAGGATGCGGACGCCGGGGTACCGGCTCTTGTACCACATCACCAGCCTTACCACCTCTGCGTATCTGGGTTGGATGGCTGGAAAATGGTCGTCCTTATGACAAAGTTCATTAACGACTCTGGCGTCCCATATAACTCTCCCTTTGCAGGAGACTGACCTGTCTGGGTTTGTACTTCGGCACTCTTGCCAATGGTACGGATACCACCCCATCTAACAGGTCCTCCTCGTCGGGGCCCGGGCTCATCAAGAGCACTCGTCCTCGCGTGGCGTCCTGCCAGATTAGTTGCCGAGCTTCTTCCACATGATCCTTAAGGGAGGGATGTGGGGTGGCCTTAACCCGGGCACGCTGCGTGCCACGGTACTCGGCCTTTACCCCTTCCTGGGCAACTCTTCTAACCCACGCAAGGAGATCCTCCGGAAGGTGACTGTCGAGGTCGTGATCAAAGAGCCCTGCGAAGTGATCTTCTCCCCGAGCCCTCCACGCGTAGCGCAGCGCTCCCACCGTCTCCTTCCATCCTCCACAAAGCCTGAGGAGGGTCGTTCCCGCTTGCACGGCACCGTTCCACGCTTCCAAAGAGTACTCAACCTGGTGCACCTTCTGCAGGTAGGCCTCCGCCGCCTCTTCTGCTTCTTTGGAGAGGCTCTTAGGCAGCCAGGACGGCGGAGGCCCCAGGAGCGGGCCGGAGTCGGCGAACAGCTTTCCGCACCTGACGGAGTCACCTGTTCCCTCAGAGAGGTCAGCTTCTTGGCTTTTTCGCTCAGCCTCCCCCGCAGGGTTATCAAGAACGGTCTTCAGCCTTTGCATTTTGGAAGCAAAATCCTCCTCCCCCCCCCCGGTACTACAAAGCGCGGCGAGCCCAGGGGGCACGCAGAAAGACGCGCGCAACATAGTAACTCCGCCGGCCGGGCCCAACAAGGGGCTGGGCAGGCGTTCGGCATGCCAACACGCGCCGGCAAGTTGGATGCGTGTGGCCTTGTCGGTCCAAGCCCGCCGGTAGAGGGGAGCCTCGAGCACGCAGCGCCCACCGGTTTGCAACTGCGCGGCGGCCAGCCGCAAAACAGAAGACCACTCGTCGGCAGGCGGACCCGGCGGCAGCGCGGCGGGGAGTAGCCAGAGGCAAGAGACGCCTCCTTCGGTAATGTATGTCAGAGCGGCGGCAGCGGCAGCGGCGTCTGGCAAAGGGCCCAGGCACAATCGGAGGCGGCGTGTGCGGTGGAAGGCCCCAACACCAGCAGCGGGAGGGGCTGGCCTGCGGGGGGCAGACAGGAGAGCAGCGGCCAGTCGACGGACTTGGTCGAAATAGCGGGAGCAGCTGTGTGCTTGTCGGGCCCGGAACGGGCCTCGACAGAGTGGCCCCGACCGGCGCGCAAAACCTGTAACCCAAACGCCCCGGCTTCACGCCCTGTCCGAAACGATCCGGGGTGGCAGACCTGGCACTGCAGGAGACGCCCCGCGTCGAGAAGCGGAGAGCCCTCCGCCTCCTCAAGGTACGCCTCCCAGCCAGCGGCCTCGAGCTCGCGGCTCCCCAAGGGCGGCAAGCAGGACTCGTCGGGAACCAGCAAACGCATGTGGCCACGGTGCACCAGCACCCACCGGGTGTCCTCAGCTTTACCGCTATAGCGGCGGCCACAGACAACCTCGACGCTGGGCCGCATATAAGCGTCGAGGCGCAGGACGGCCAAGCCCAGGCACTCCCACTCCTCCAAAGGGTGGGCAACCAAAGTGCGGTAGTCGCGGTCGTGCCCAAAATGGAGAAGGTCGTGGTGGAACACTCGGACATCCGCTTCGGCCTGCGTGAGCCGTTCGGGCGTTGGCCCCAGAGAGTCCTCGGCGACTCGTGCCTGCGAGCACCACCGGACTCTCCACTCGGAGGCGAGAGCCCAAACCGCCTCGGGTGTGGGGAGAGGCTGGTCCGGTGTGGCCTTAGGCTCGTCGCAGGCGGCGGCAAATCCCATCTGTTCGCATGCCTCAGAAGAGAGGGGAAGCTGGTCTTGGTAGTCGTACATGGCCCAGTGACCGACGCCCTTCCAAGTGAGCGTTCCGGCCCCGATGGTGGAATTCCATGTAAGACCTGAAAGCTGCACCAGGGGGGACTCGCCGGCCTTGCGGTGGACGCCGCGTTCCTCAAGGAGGCGGGCGGCTTCTTCAGACAGCTCTGGGCCACCCAGGGAGACAGCTTCCTCCAACAGGTGCGTAACATCCTCAAGCTCGGGGGCACGACCCGTTTCCTCGCGGAGGCGTAGAAGGCGATTGCGCAGGTAGACACCCACCAGTCCAGTGGGATAAGGCCCCAGGGCGGGTTCAGCCGCGTCCGCTCGCGCCGACTTCTCAAATTTTGAGCTAGGGCAGGTAAGAGTAGCGGCGTCGGCATCGACGTCGCGCCACCAGTTGCTGCCTTCGTCTTTGAGAAGTGCGCCCAGGGTTTCTTCACGGTCGGTGGGCAGGACATTATCCAAATCTGCCACAACATGTCCTGTCTGTTCGGGTACTCGTTCTCCCGCTCGAGAGGTGCGGTCAGTGTTGCCCGTGCCCGCAGCTGGAGTGGTCCTCTGTGTGGTAGAAGCCTTGGCCTTAGCAGCTGCGATACCTTCCTGCTTAGCAGCGGCGGCTTTCGCAGCTTGCTCCGCCCGTACTCGGGTGAACTCACGGTCGACTTCGTCCCCTGTCTTGGCCTTAGAGCCCTTAAGGCCCCCTCGGCGCAGCAACTGGAGCTGGACCGTGTAGTCCAGGGTCGTCCACTTAGGAGCGGCCTTATGGGAGTGGGGGCACCCGCTACCCTTGTTACACCCGCGATGTGTCAGGAAGTCCCAGCAGAGGTATTGGCCCTGTTGGTCTTTCGGTCGGTGGTCCAGGGACCGGGCCGCTTCCTTGGGCGTGAGGCTGGGACCGAGAAGTTTTGGTGGGGCGGCTTTATCCGCCGCCTCGCCACCAGCTCGACCCTTTTAGGGGGTGGAGGAACACCGGGCTCGGTTCGAGCCTCGGTGGCATCCCCTTCTCCAGCAGCCCGACCCCCGGTGTTGCCCTTCTTCTGTGCGCCGGCCCAACACGCTCGAGAGAGTTGGCGCTGCATGCGCGGCAACATATCGGTGCAGAAGTATTGGGTATCGTCGTCAAGGCGAAAGGTACCCGGCAGTTGGAGCCAGGGCTGCCCGTCTGGACCAGGGGACAGGGCGAAGAACTTGAGTCGGGCGAAGGTAGGAGTCTCGTCTTGCATGGCTCTGCGAATGCGACGATCCAACTCCCGTGCTTCTTCGCAAAAACGGGCCCAAAGTTCTTCCCATGCACCGTAGACTGCGGACGCTGGCCAGGCATAGCCATGTTGTTCCCCTAAGCGCAACAGATGTGAAGCGGCCTTTTCGAGCACGGGGTAATATTCCTCTCCAAAGAGACAGGAGAAGGCCCAAGACTGGCGGAGGGCGGCTCTGAACCATGAGGTCAGCGTGTTAGGGTACCGACCTTTACGTTCGAGTTTGAGGTCAGGTGAGCCCCCGTAGTTGTCGAAATCTTCCTCCGAGGTGAGTGGAAAATCTCCGGCCGATAGGCAGTACTCCGGCAGCGTGTTGAGCGTTTTCCCTCCCAGCTGCAGGGCCGCAAATCCATAGCTGTGCCGGTTTTGAATGTTGCAGGGGAACTCGATCTTCCGCAACTGAGGTCTCGCTTGCGTCCCTGCGATGCGAAGCGCATGAAAGAGTTCTTTCCCTACCACGCCAGGGCAGAGAGTGACACTCAGGGAGTCGCAGCCCCGGAGCAAAAACACAAGCCTCTCCTCCAATCGCCCAATTGATGCCAGTTTACCTCGCTCCTGTGCGAGGGCGTCTTCCTTGGAGGTCAGGCTTTTGGCTATCGCCTGGAGGGCTTTAGTCGTCTCGTCTGCTGCGGGTGCCTCTGCATCCGTGAAGGCTCCTGCTCGGAAAGCCCTGGTGGCCTGGGCCAGCGCATCTACCGCATCAGTTCTGCCCCCAGCTCCCCCTGCTCCGGGGTTTTGCCTGAACAATGCCTGAGCGGTTGGCCGATGATCCGAGCCCTGGGCTGCCCACGGACGTTCCGGGGCTGGAGCAGCCCACGGACTTGTCCTGCTCTGGTGGTGAGAAGGAGGACCCGGGTCCGAAGCGGTCCACGGGTAGAAACCTCCTCCTGGCTGCCCGTCTGTCGAGACCTGCGGTTGGGCTAGTTCCCAAATGAATTTGCTGGCCTCGGCCGGTAGTTCGCTGGTAATTCGTATGCAATGCCTCCGTGCCAGTTCCCGGAGACGCCTCTGTCTCTCGGACGGAGTCCTGCCGTCCACCTCGGACACCTCGACAGCTGAGTCGTGCCCCTTCCCCTGGAGTCTCGCTTCCATATACGCGAACAGGGCCTGGCTGTCGTCTGGTGCATCGGTTCTGGAGGCGCTCCTGTCCGGTCCACCTGAAGTTGGGCCGGGCGTCGCGCCTCTTTGCTTGAGAAATATGGCCCTTTTTCGAAGATCTTCATCCGGTATCCCCGCGATCTCTTCCCAGGTCAACCCCGTGAGTACCTGATCCTCGACCGAAGCGTCAGCTCCGGGAAAGTGGGCAACTGAGGTGGCTCCATCCAAACGCGGGGGGGAGGAAATCCCTCGGAGTTCAGCAGCCTCAGTCCGCGTTCCGCGCTTGGGTGTGGCATCCTGCGAATGCGGCCGGGCGCGCTCCGCGCCACGGCTGATGGACCTCTTTCTGGCTTCCTGAGGACCACGGGACCGAGAAGCGAAATTCCCCTGCTTGGGGGTTGGGCCTCGTTCTTCCTTGCTGGCGTGCAGTCTGCAAAGTTTGACCCCTCCCTTCACCGTCTGGGCGACCTTCCCACAGCCCTCGACTGAGCAAGCTCTTCTGGTCTTTGAAAGGTCGTAGCTCTCCTGGTGGCGGGCGCATAACTGGCAGCTGGCTTGAAGTCCATCCCAATGCAGTTCACCACTACTACTTTGCATGCCGTCATCGTTGAGAAGCCTGACCCACGAACACGCGGCGTCTTTGCAGCGCTCTTTGCTGAGCCTTTTCGTCTGCGTGCCCTCTTTCCAGGCGATCGCATCGGCCTGGCACGGGTTGTCTTCTTCCTCCGATTCGGTCTCTGACAAATCGTGGCGCGGAGTGCGCCCTTCTTCCTCACCCGGGCGCGGAGCGCGCCTCGAGTGCTTCGCTCCGCCGCAACAGCACCAAGAGGTGATCCAACGCCCACATGCGCGTCCGGTGCTCCAAAGTCCCGTGACCCCTTGTAGGGCCATAAACTTGGACGCGTTGAGGGCCCGACACATAGGTCCTCGGCCTGACAGTTCGTTCAGGTCGACGTCCACGCTCTGGGGGACCACACTACTGGCCGTGATATGTAGCTCTGCTGCTTCAGGCGAAGTGCATGGTTCTACCGAGCACAGGTGAACAACACACTGCGCTCGCTCCAAACACCTTCTCCAGTAGCGGTGGGACGCCCCGTGTACGCTGTCACACCTGCAAAGAAACCCATGGCGGTTGGTGCGACCCCGTACGGCTCCATGCCGTAAGCGGGCCACAGCTACCCCGTCGGTTACCAGAAGATCATATGGGAGCTGTTGTTCACCTCTCCCTCTTACTTGATCTTGAACGTAGGTGACCGACCAGGGATGCTCACCTTGGGGTCCTGTCCATCTGACGTGATATGGGTTTTCGCCGTGCCCCCTCAGCACGGCCTCCCAGGTCCCTCGGCCCGCCACGTACTGGAGCAGTGCTCCAATGACGACGAAGATGGGCCTGACGACCCACGCATAGGTCCAATAGGTAAGTTGTAACATACCCAGCAGGATGGTAGTGGTGGCCAGCCAATAGGTCCACCTTGCAGCGAGCCCAATGGAGGCACACAGGGTGCCGCACCAGGTCAACCCCCCTTCCCATATCTCCCACAATACTCCGGCCAAAATCCGGAAGTACCAGCGACGAGAATGGGCGTCTTCGGCTTGGGGCGTGCTGGCTTTCGGTTCAGTGGAGCCTTCCCAGGACCAGTCGAACCACCAGTACGATGCTCCCGGGCTCGGTTCCGAGCCACGGGTACTGTAAGGCTCGTGCCCTTCTGTAGGGCACGAACCTGCTCCTCCTTTGTCGCACGTTTGGTTTTCGCTACCCACAGCGAAAGGCCATAGCCCCCCGAGCGGGCGCACCAGTGCGCCGATCAACAGCAGGGCGACTCTCATTGTCACCCTTGAGCCGAGAGCCTACGGAGGTGAAACACTACGCACGCAGCGCTAAGCTACCACTTTAGGGACCTAATTCCATAATGGGACTGTCTGTGGAGCCTCTAGGACTATACGAAATTCACATCTTGTACTACAAGTCCCATAGACCCAGACATGAAACCATCTTGCTAGTAACTTTCTGGCTTTCAGGAAAGTTTCCTGCAAGTTAAGTACAACCAGCCTAGCAAAACTTTGCGAAACCCAACCTTAAACCCTAGACCCTCATAATCGGAAATCCGATAAGAATCCTAAAACCCTCGTGATAACGCTCGATCTAATCTGACAAAAAATTGACAACCTTCAAATTCTTGTATTTAGCCCAACCCTGAACACAAAAACGTAGACCACAAAACTAAAACCTAAAGCCGAACCCCACAACCCTAAAGCCCGAAAGCCCTACACCCCTAAAGCCCCAAAACCTAAAAACCCTATAACACCCTAAACCCTAGAACCCTGACACTCTCATATGAGGTACGGCCTGCCCGGGGATGCCAGGGAGACGCTTCACGCCTCGAGTCGTCTCAGCTGTTTGGGGTGGGGCCGGGGTCGGAGGCACAATATCCACCAAAACCCTCTTCTAATTATTAAGGCCCCTACATTGGGGTTAGTAAGGATTTCGGATTTTGAGCTTGGGGTTTACCCCTAAACCCTAAACCCACGGTTGTTGACTGACCCACTCCGAGGGTGCTCACGCCAAAGGGCCGACTAGGGTCGTGGATCATACAGGACTCCTTTTTGCTCTTCATTGCATGCTTGCACTAAGGAACCCTAAGGAACACTGCTTCATGCCGAAGACCGACACCCCAGCAAGGACAAAGAGAGTGCAGACGATCATGCTCAAAGACTGGGGTTGGATTTGTGGCTCGGGGTGCCTCAGTATCTTACATACACCAACATCTTCCACTTGGGATCTTGAATCTGAATAGAAGCCGGCAAAGCTGTCTTCAAGAATCAACACTTTTTTGAACCAGTAAGAGCCTCCGTCGTGCTGTAGATGGAGGGATCAGGGATCGCCCTCGACTCATCCCTAAACAGCTTTGAGTACCCTTAATGAAGGAACATGCCTTGAATTCAAGACGGGTCATGATATGATGCAAGGTACAACCCTGAATTGCCGTGCATGGGCAGAGCCATACAGTCTTGAACCCGGACCCCAAACCCAAACCCTGTAAGCCTTAAACTAGGACTCTTAAACTCTGAACCCTAAACCTTCGCCCTAAACCCTTAACCCAAACCCTGGTTTTGAAATATCAAACTTTAATCCTACGGACCTTAAAACCCGAGGCACTACAGCCTTCACCTCAATTTCTGAAGAACCCTAAACTCTAAACCCCAACCTCTTAACCGGAACAACAGAGGGACGACAATTTTGAAACGAGGGTTCGGGTGGGGTTTAAAATACATACACTATGGAACACCACACTGGTTTTATTGATTCAAGGTGTAGCTCTCCAAATGAGTGTCATTTTCTAGGGTCCTTTCTGTAAGGGTGCCGTACTATCTTGGGAATCCTACAGGAACCCTTATCCCTTCAAGGAACCCTACAGTACCCTTATAGTAGGAGTCCTACAGGAACCCTTGTAGATCATATATCTGTATCATGAATATTATCAAACTGGGGCAGTACCCAACCGATCGATCCCTTCAACTAGGGCTGGCACATAGCTCCTCGGCCAACCGACCTGAGCAAAAGCCGGACGCTTTTTATAGAAGACAAGGGCTTGAAGCTATGGGGTTTCGGGGCTACCGCTGATCCCGTCAGGGTTCGTGCGCAGAATGGACCCCTTCTCAGTCGTACTGGTGATTGAGAACTATGGACAACTGTCGCTTGTTAAAGTTGCGTCTGTGGTGCTAGCACGAACTAGTTACTTATGAAACACAGTAAAATAGCTCATTCGAGCAATCTTAACAGAGCGCTGTCAGCCGCAACAATAAAAAATCGCCATGGAAGCTCAGGTCGCAATAAACTATCCCTGGGTTGTAGTTTTGGGGCTCTGAAAAGTATTTATGAATAGGTACCTCTATATGGAACCATGAGGGAAATTAAAAGTTTCCCAAATTGCCACCTAGATCATCTCGCGCCCTTGAACCTATAAACCCTAAACCTCATCTGAACACTCAGAAGGCCTAAACCCTAAAGAGATATTATCGAAAGCTTCGTGACAGCCAAATGCTCCAGAGCATGCCAGGCGTCGTGCTCTTCTGATACGCTTTTGTCGGATTTGTCGTTCAGTTGCGACTGGCGCTGTTTCTGTTTGGGTTCTACAACGAAGATATGAGGACAAGACCACCACGATCGTGAGGGGCGCATTGTGCTTGATTAACCCAGTAAGACTCTCTTCACTTTCGACTTAACCGTCAAGACAGATGCACTCGCGACGGCTAAAGAGACGCCACGCTGTTCAGGAGCATTATTGTTGTGACTGCTGTACTTTCAGTTTGCTGCTGCTGATTGTGCGAACAGGGATTGCTACCGTTTCTGGGTATTAATTATCTTCACGTCTATTCACACTGGTGCTGATTTACGATGCATCGCTCTGCCATGGGACACTTGCGTGGTGCTACACAGATGACCACGAATATAGGGGTCTAAATATGGTCAACAAGGTTTTCGGGCCTTTTGAGGTATTATTCTGATAATGAGCCCTTAAGAAATCGGCATCAGTGACTCCTCAGGCTTCTATGACATTATGCTGAAGTCTCCCAGCCTCAGGCAAGGCCTTGCGCTTAGTTGCAGCTGGAAGCCAAACCCTTTCCCTGAATCCGGAGCAAGTGGCAAGTGGGCAGAGGAACTGTTCTTGGAAGTCGCGGCCACAACCTCCTTCGAGCAGGGAACAGCCTCCTTGCCGGCCTGTGGCGGCTGGTCCTTGCTGCTGCCAGCTCCGCTTTCCAACTGCTCCGTGGACCACTGCCTGCACCGCAACACTCAGCCGCTCAGCTGTTGTCGCATGCTGAGATTTGTGTAGGCAGTACTGAAACCCCTTGGACAGGCGGTTCGCCAGCAACTCGGCCTCTGTCAACTTCTCGAACATATCAAGGCAGCCGCTGAACGGCTTTTCATTCATGCGCGATGTCGCAGCAGCGACGTCGTAGTAGAAGTCTTCGAAGGTTGCGACGATCTGCCCCATGTCGGCGGAAGCATACTTCTCGAGGACCTACATTGACCTACATAAGGAATTCATAACCAGGAAACCTGGAAAGGTCGGTTCCTTAGGGCCCAGGTAACCCCCAAGATCTAAATCCTGAACCCTAAACCAGCCCTCAACGCCCGAAGAACCACTCAGCCCTGCATCACACCCGAAAAGCCCACATGAACGCTATCCCAGGCCCATCCCCTGCTATATCATAACATTACGAAATAGAATCTAGTATTCGGTAGCATAATGTCATACAACACAAAATGATGTAAAAACATATAGGATAATGCCACATGGCATAGCAAAGTTCAATAAAAAATCATAGAACAGAGTCTGTGAATCCTATACGGAATGCATCAAAGTCCCAAAAACCTGAAAAGTTGAGGATATCATAAGCAACTTTTCCTAGGGTCTTGCTAAAACCCACATACACTTAGAGGGGCGCAACAAGAAGCCGGCTAAACTCGAAACCCTAAATCCCAAACCTAGACCCTAAACCCTAAACCCCAGGCTCATTCTTAAGAAACCCCAACTGAACCCTAGGCTCATGCAGTCTTAAGATTGGTCAAAGGACGGGCTCCGCTGTCGGTAAGGAGGCACCGCGACTGGCGCCTTTGTGGCTGTTAGAAACTCTGGGTGTCTGGTAGCTTTAGGTTTGGGTTTAGGGTTTAGGGGTTTAGGGTTTAGGGGTTTAGGGTTCAGGCTTTAGGATAGCGTCTAGGTTTGGGTTTAGGGTTTAGGGGTTTAGGGTTCAGGGTCTCTGGTAGCTTTAGGTTACTATAGGGGCTTGAATAATTGGACTAGGGCTTCGGGAATTTTTACCAAGGAACCCCCAAAACACTGTAGCTAAGTATTAAGGCACCGATTTTAGGGTATAGGTTTGGGGTTAAGGGTTTAGGGTCTAGTATTTGAGGTTTAAGAGTTTAAGAGTCAAAGTTTAGGGTTTAGGGTGGATTGAAGGTTTGGGCTTTGGCGATGAAGGTTTTTGGGCTGAGGGTTGAGGTCTTTGGAGGGGTTGGGGGCAAGAGAGTTCAACTTTTACAGTCGCGGATTGCCATATGTAGTATACTTCTAGAGAGGCGGAAAAGTGTCATTTCTAGTTCTTCAGATCTCTATATCAGGGATTGGGATTCTGACTTTCTGGGGCACAACATACACGCCGTACAGGAAGCTGCGATTGCCATATGTGGGCTACCACCCAACAAACCGAATAATCCATATCAAGTTGTCCACAAGTGGGATGCATGTTGTAGAGACAGCGACTACTTTAGCGGCCTGAATGATTAGAATAGGGTTTTGGGTCCCATTATGACAATAATAAGGAACCTCCAGAAATAGAATTGGTAATTATATTTAGGCCCCTATATTATAGTACGCAGGCCGCACTGCTCTTGCTGCGCGTCTTCACCGAAGCCCGTGTGCGTTATAGTACACTTATAGATCACTTATAGTAGTCCTTATCGACCCCTTTACAGGACCCCCCCCCAAAAAAACCAGTCTTGGTATTTGTTTAGGCCCCTAAATTTTGGAAGCTGCCCCCACCCTGTAATAGTGGTATAGTTGGAATATAAGAGGGCCCTAATATAATCCTTATAGTAACTATTACAGGGTCGGGGCAGCTCTAAAATCTAGATTACATGCCGTGCCATCAGACTCTGAAGCCTCACTATCGAAGAACCGCCGCCCTAAATTCTCAAAACCTACTTGGAGGCTCAGGCGCAGTTACAAGGTTTTTTTTTCAGGGTCCCTCTATAGGGTTTAGGGTACTTGGAGGTTCGTGGGTAGTTATAAGTAGGGTTGTAAGTCCGCTAACATGAGTTAGAAGTATAGTTACCCTACTTTTAACCCCACTTACAACTACCCATGAAGCTCCATAAGTAGTCCTTGACAGCCAGGGCTTAAACCTGAACAGCCTGCCCTCAGACCCAAGACACTACTCTAAACCCTAAACCCTAACTCCAAACTTGAACTCTGAAGCCGATACCCTCAGGCCCAACCCGCGTACCCCGGATCCTGAGTGCGGCCGCCCTTTACCCCAAATTAGGGGGTTTTGGGGGTTGAACTTTGGCCCCCTTTCAACCCCCGAACCCATTGAAATGCCCCAAAACCACCCGTGAAGCCCTCGTCGCCACCGAAACCCCTAAAGGACCCTGATAAAGCGGAGCTCTCGTCCGCTTCCTAAATCCTGAACCTGAAACCCTACAGTAGAAGCCCAAAAGTTGGAAACCCAATAGCCTCAATCCTTAAATGAGTCATGCATAGGGAATCCCAGCACAATTTGGCCTTAGTCGGGTTTCCACTTTAGGATGTTTACTGTAAATCCAAACCCTATAAAGACAGCCCTATATGAGCCCTGCATTTTGGGCCCGTGCAGGGCCCGGCGACACCCTGTCCAAGGCAGGCTTTGTGGTACGGTTTGCTGGCTTAGGATTTAAGGGTGAGGTTTAAATAAGGTTGAGAGGGTTTATATAGGGTTGAGAAGCTTCATGTTAGCGTCTCTTAACTTACTGTTTTGGCTCCTTGCCTCAGGTCGTGGTCGCCCATGTCTCTCAACACCAGCAGCACCGGTGATCCTGAACCATCCCCAACCTCCCACCCTAAGCCGCAAATCTCACCCCTGCAACCCCAAACTCTGACCCATAAACTCAAACCTAATGTCTAAAGCCTAAGACTGCGCTTACGATCGAAAGCCGTGGAAAGCCATCCTAACGAGATGCCAAATCTCAAACAAAAAAAGGAGGAACCTTTAATTGGGACCCCTACCCTATCATTAATGGGCTATATAATGGGTACATAATAGCTATATTAAGGGTATATACCTGGGGGTCCTTATTAAGGGCCCCTCCTTTTCCCCTTTGAAAATCACAGCCTCCGTGGGCGCACATTCGTCGCTTGCGCGGCGCGAGCGATCCAGGTTCCTGGCCTCGGCTCGTGCTTTTTTCCGGGCTCGTGTAGGGTGGGGATGTGATGTGGGGTTTCGGGTGTAGGGTCCAGGGTATAGGGCGTGGGGTTTAGGGGTTGGGTGTTATCAGGGTTTAGCGTTTAGGGTGTAGGGTTGCGGTTTGGGAAAGTCAAGGGCCTCAAAGTGCTCTTTTGGGCTCTACAGGGCTTTTCGGGGTCTCGCTAGGGGAACTTTGGATTTGTGAGGCGTTGAGGACTTGCTTCTAGGCCTTGCCTCTTGAGGGTTCCACACCAGGCAACACGTCCACACCGAGGCCTTCTGGAGTTTCATGGGGATTCCATAAGGATTGGAGAAGGATCTACAAGAGTTTTACAGGGCTTTGGAGCTTGAGGCTACTCTGGGGTTGCTTCGGAACTATGCCGTTTCTCGGTCAAGGCATGATAAAGGATGCTTGTTCCTGACCTTCAGGTCAGCATCAGGATCGTGATGTGCCGGCTGTCTGGCAGATATACAATGAACTCCGTTACCCTAGACAAAAAGAACACACATGCAACAAAACAAACTAGCAAAGAATGTAGCGGCGAAGAACTAGACCGAAGGCTTTCAAGCGTAGCTTGGCGGGTTTCGCATCAAGGCTTTGGCAGCAAGGGCATGAGGGGAATGAAAAGCCCCACAACCTTAACCTGAAGTGTAGAACCTTGGTTCAAACTCGACAGAACACCACAAAACCAGAAACTCTCGCATGCTCGGAACTGTAGAACCCTGGTTGAAAAGTCTCGAAAATTTGTGATACTTATCAGCAACCAGGCTTACTAGGGTTCAGTATGCGGGGCGAACTAAAGGCTAACCCTGGGGATTATGCTGCCCCAAACTGCACCCCGGGCCAAAAGATGCGAAGAATGGAAAGCAAGTGGTCATGAAGTCCACAACTATAGCAAAGTCTAGACATACAGATACAGGGTGATGTAATAAATACAACACAGTGACTTATGTAATCTAAGTCTAAGATAGTCTACCAAAGTATAACATACTCATAATGTAAGAATGTAAGGTTTGTGGTACAATATAGTGGTGCAGTATACTCTACTTTGATCAGCCGCCAGTTGGTTCGCGTTCAGCAACGTCACTCCATCTGCACGAGAAGAGTTCGGTCGCCGCGAGGCACCGAACTCGGTTTAGGGTTTAGGGCTTAGGGTCGCAGCAATGACAGTCTGTTTCCTATGCAGAACCAGTGGTGCCGCCGCCGCCAACTGCTCTGCCGAGACGGAGTGAAGCGGGAGCATCTCCGCGTGCGCAGGGCCCCCCAGGTGAAGTTGTACCAGCGTCTGACTGGCTAAAACTCCTAAACTCTGACTCCCTCAATACCCTGTGATAGAGAATTCTACGCCTCTGAGCTCTAAACTCCTAGATCCCTCCAAACTCCTACACCACGGTCGGTGGTTACTGTAGACACCTTAACAATTAGAATACGTTTAGGTGGATATTCTACTATGGAATTAAGAGGGACTATCAGGACTATCAGGGAATAGTATCCCTCATTGTTTCCCTAGAACTAAGGGTGCCGCCTTTCCTATTGTTTGACGTATAGGGGTCCTACTGCGGAACCCAGGAATACTAGCACTGACGTTCGCGTCAGACCAAACCCTCAACCCTCCACCCTAAACCCCTAGACCCTCAACCCTAAACCCTCAACCCTTGAAACCCTAGACCCCTATAAACCCCTGAACCCTGGAAACCCAAAACCCTAAACCTCTGTAAGCCCTAAACCCAATAGGATTATAGTAGAGACCTTCAAGCAACCCCAAAAGGCTAAAGGTTACTACTGGGCTGACTATTCCGACCCCCATATGGGTGGTTGTCAAAAATTAGCGTCCCTTTTTGGGTCCTTCATATAATACGGCACCTCTTAGTTAGGGTAGCCAAACAGGGACCCTAATTTTGACAACCACCTACTGGACTTTGAAGTAACCAGGGAGAAAAAGCATAGACTTTTATTTGATAATGGTTCCTTTAAGGAACAGGTACCAAAAAAGTATTCAAGTATGGTACTCCAAACCCAGGCCTATATGCAACCCTCCCACGCTTGGAC